ATTGTGTGCTCAGAGAGATTCAATCTAAGCCCTTTGGGTAAGATTGTATTTAGAAATCATACAATCTTACCCAATCTTGGGTAAGATTGTATGATAGAAATCAATTTCTATCATAATTTGCATTCAAGCAGGAATAATCTAAGAATGAAATAGGATTCTACTGCATATATTTGTCCAGTCTGATTTTATTTTATTTTTTATTTTATCTCTTTAAGATTTACTATAAAAATTCTAATCATAATTTCATTAGAAATATACCTTTTTTTTTTTTTTTACAACAAATCATTCAGTGTAAATAAGTGTACAATCAGCAAAATAAACAGCCATTTGGAATAATTGCCCTCAGAAAGCCTTATTTTGATCAATCTGAATCAGAGACAATCTCTGTACTGTTATATATCTGATAATACATGTCAATAATCCAGATCAATTAATACAAAATATGTTTTTGCCCTACATTAATAATGTAGATAAGCACGAATATCAGTGTGCTCATATACATGACAATTAAATGTGTTTTTTGTCATTTTAATTAGTTTTGTTAATTTAGTCTTTATCCATTTTTATTCCAACTGTAGTTAAAAAAAAAAAAAAAAAAACTTATACTTATTGTTTTTGCTTTTCTTTTATTTCAAGTAATCCAAATGTTTTTGGTAACACTTTACAATAAGGTTCATTAGTTAATGTATTTACTAACATGAACTAACAATGAGTAATACATTTGTTACAGTATTTTTAATCTTTGTTAATATTAGTCGGATATTAAAATTATATTAAATTATATTAAAATCCAGCCGTTCATTGTTTGTTCATGTTAGTTCACGGTGCATTAACTGATGTTAACAAACACAACCTTTGATTTTAATAATGTATTAGTACATTTTGAAAATGAATATTACCTCATTCTTAGTTTATGTTAACAAAGGTTGTTAACTAATGAACCTTATTGCAAAGTGTTACCATGTTTTTTATGGTTTTCATGTGAGTCAACCCTACTGTTTCCTGCAGGTCTGTTGAGTGTCCGTGAGGTCTTGAGGTTGACTGAGCCCGTGGATGAGCTGAAAAGAGGGACGTTTTCTCTGCAGGCCAGAGTGCTGGAGTACAGGACCGTTAGTGCGGGAGTGGAGGTGGATCTCACTTTAACCGCATCCAGACATCAGCAGACCGTATGGACCACCACACTGACTCTACTCTCTCCTAACAATAATTTCAGGCCTGAGGCTCAGCCTGACTTCGAGATCGCCCATGGTAAGGGACCCAATGACACACAACGGACTCATATCAGTGGCTGGGAAAAGCGTTTTACTCCACATTAGGGTGTTCGTCCTAACGCATCTAACACTTTCTGGTGATTTATTAGTTTTTTTCCCCCCAGATCCTGTCTCAGAGAGATGCATCAGCCTGGCTGTTCCTTGGTCCAGCGGTGTGAGATGTGCCTGGGTGTTTGGTGACCTCTGCCCTCTGCATGTGTTTACTCGTCCCTCCGCACACATGCTGTGGATGTTCTCCAGATGCATGGCAGAGATGGAGAAGCACAATGGTAAGTGATGTTTGGAGGGCTATTCACACCAGCAGTGGAATGTCATAAATGTCTTTGTAGGTCCATAGGAATACACTTTCCTAAATTTACAATGACTTTCACTGCAAAATTTTGCATTGTGTAAATAGCCTATCTTATAGCCTAAATATACTATTTATCTTTTATGTATTACTTTGTTAAATTCATTTTATAAACAAAAAAATTGTGTTATTGTTAAACTCAGCTCCTAGAGGGCCACAGACAATATTATATCATTTATTAAGTTTAATTCCAAAATAAAAGTTTGTGTTTACATAATATATTTGTGTGTGCTGTGTATTATTATTTTGTAAATATAAATACACACACATGCATGCATATATTTAAGAAAATGTGTTTTCATATATGAAATATTTATATTTATATAAAATATAGATTATGTATTTATATACAGTATTTACGTGCAAATAATTCTTAAATATATACATGCATGATAAATATATTTATGCAAATAAATAAAAATAAAAAAATATACAAAATAATTATACACAGCACAGCACACACACATATATTACATTTATTTTGGTTGTGATTAATCGCAATTAATCTTTGCACAGCCCTATATATATTATAATTAAATACTTGAATATTATATTTATTATTAAATTATTTACAATATATTATATTATTAATATATACATAATATATAAAAATGATAGTATATAATTATGAATTTATATTTTAAAATTATATATTTTTATTGTTTATTTTATATTACATTATGTATAAAATATATAAAAATAAACATAATATAATAAATATTAAAATATATTTTAATATATTAGTAAAATATATATTTTTATTTACAATATATTCATAAATTATATATATATATTACTCTATTAAATGATATAATATATAGTATTTATATATTTATAAATATATATTTATAACCTTTTGCCCTACATTAATAATGTAGTTAAAATGATAAAATTATTCTTTTTATCTACTTTCATATTATATATAACATCTTTTCCCAATGTGGTTTCATCCTCGTTTTCTACACCTGTAGGAGTTGAAGTGGTGAGAGCTCCTCTGACTGTGTCCGTCCGTTACAAACAGCCTGTGTATTTTCCGAGGAAATTCACCATCCGAGTCAGTGAAAACACTTCTCAAACCTCAAGCACAGCATCATTCTCAATGGAGGATAACAGGACCGGGACACTGTACCTCTCAGGACAGATTAAACAACAGTCAAAGGAGAAGGCAGAGTGATGGTGATGTAACTCTCACAGAGTCAGAAGGGATACTAAATACTTAAAGTCACCATTAAATGGAAGTTGTGACGTATATTTGTCCATTGGGACTTGATTGGATTATTGTGGTTTGCTATTGGTGGATCTCATGTGAGTGACAAGTTGTCCCGCCCTCACGCCAGTGAAGACATCATCAGAGAAGAGAAGTGATGACGCTGCAATAGGGAGAGGAAATTATTTTTATTAAAGATTATGAGGGCACATTAATAAAAAAAAAATTAAGTGCTCATTTAAATCATTTATAATAAACACAACAATATTTCATAAAAATAAGAATTGTCCATTTTGATTTCATGGTGACTTTAACGGCAGGGGACCGTGTTGAACTGGTGGAATGATGATTATTTCTAAAGATTGGATAAAGGTTGGGACATGTTTTTATTTATTAAGTCAAATAATAAGTAATATAAAATAAATAATTGTATATAAGTAATATATATTTATATGACATAAATTAATGACATCATCAAACGACAGCTACATAAATGACTAATGATTAAATATAATTGTAAATTAACAAACAAAATAATAAAAACAGATGTGTGGTTGCTCTCTTAAAATAACACACAGGTTGTTATTGAGAATCCTTAGATCCCTCATTATGTTGAACTAAATTATGCACTGTATTTGTTTGTGCAAAGAAACATGATAAATAGTACTATAAATCAATATGTGGGAAAATAAATAAAAAATATAAAATAAATGGTCCCACTTATATTAAGTGGCTTTAAGTACTGTGTACTTACATTTATATTAATAATTTGATACAATGGCCTATTGTGTACATACATGTTTTAACATTGTACTTATATTTTGAAAATACCTGCAAATAATTAGAGCAGTAATTAATTTATGTAATTACATTTTTACACAGTTGACCCTTCCCTCACACCTTAACCTACCCTTAAACCTACCCATGCCACCACACCTGACCCTAACCTTACCCATATCAGCAGCAAAGGTGTTTTAACCTGAACATAATATGTACATTGTACTTATTTGTCAATGTAAGTACTTAATATAAAGTGGGACCAAATAAATTGCTACAGATTTGTTAAATATTGCCTTTTAAATGTGATTTTATTCTATAATTTTAGTTTGAATTCAGTTAAATATGAATTCATATTGTATCAGTTTTAATCAGTCTGTGTCAGTGGGGGAGGAGTTGAGTGGAGGGCCGTTTCTCATCAATATTTCACTCTCTCGCCTCTTTTCTTCTCTTTGCCCTTCCCTATGCTTACACACACACGTGTGTAAGTGCTCCGTGTGTATTATTCATTAGTGTGTTTCCAGATATGAGGAGGGGGTTTCTCACAGAAGCTCTTTTCTGAACAAGATACATACTGTATATTATAACTTTTATATCTACATAATGATTCATTTTCTCCAATTGTTGCGATTCTTAATTTGTAACATCTGAACTTGTTTTCAGACCAATTTAACCTGTTTCGAGGCTCATCCACACATTTTTAAAAAATGATCTGATTACTTCAAACTTGTTTACTTAGTAGGGTTTTAATAATCCTAGTTAGCATTGAAACTCAATTAAGCTGATGGTGATTAACTCATTATTGTAAATGTAATCTTAATTTTATTGGAATTTGCTGGATAGATGTAGTTTTTTTTACATGCAGCTATACTTGTAAATGTTTGTGAAATTTATTTAGTGCTATTTAACATAACATCACAATCGTAACTAGCTAGTCAGTTTTGATGGTAGTTATGTTGTCTCTTTTTATTGTGAATTTAATTTTTTGGGACAGATGCTTTAAAATATATATTTTTTTGGGTGCAAATTACACATTTACAAAATGAATGTTTGGAAATCTAAAATATTTCCCACTAGCACACTAAATCAAAACATACAAACAACCATTATTAAGCAATTTAATCTATTATATAACTTAGGTGTGTGTGTAATATATAGTATAAATATACACCCTCAGTATATAGTCTTAGACAAGATAAACTAATATCTGGTATAAGACTGCTGTGTAGTGAATTCTTGTCTACTCATATGGCCTAATAGACATCATTAATTCATAAAGGCCTGATTCTGTCGTGTGTAATGTGCAGTCATGTGTAATCGGTGTGTTTGGAGCAGTGAGTGGAAAAGCTGCTGTGATCAAAGGAGAAAATAATGAAAGTGTAAGTTTAATACTGTCTTATAAGCTTTGGTAAGACTTTACTTTGTTATTTCTGAGAGAAGTGGGATATGTTCTGTAGTGCTGTGTTGTTTGTGTGACTCCTGATATGCAGATTTGTGTGTCTTTGTGTACCTCACGAGTGACGGCCATGCCAGTTAGAGTGTCTTTCTTCCTCTGAAAATGCCTTGAAGTCTCTTGGGAACTTTGAGTTATTTTTTGCTGCTTTTAAAGGCTTCATGTCTGTATTCATCCTGTTGGAAACTGCCCACCTCCCATTTTCATTCCCCCGTCTACTCCTGTTTCTTCATCTTTCTGTTTTCTCAATATCGTAATGTGTATTAGTGCATTTGTGGTCGGATATTTTGCATTTCTTCTTTGTTTGCAACATCTGGAGCATTAACAGTGCTGTATCTGTGGATGCTAAAAGTAAAGGCATGGATGTTGAGGTATTAGTGTGGGGTTGGAAGGGCAAAAGGTTAATTCCTTTGTGGTAATCCTGAATCCGTAGAGGGTTTATAGGAGATCTTATTTTGTTTTGTCTCCTTGACTGTTCAGATGTGACCTGTCTCTTGGACAAGCGCTCTCTGAGGTGTGTTAGGAAGAGCTTGCCATGGTCACCAAAGACAACGCTAACTCTGGTGAGTAGAGAAAGATCTCAGGGCAGTTTTAAATGAACAAAAACTTGTTTATGCGATAGAAATATTTTGCAAGATATTGTAAGATATAAGAAATGGCTTAGATACTCCACCTTTCAAAAGTTTTGAGGTCATTACACTGTAAAAAAAATATACAGTATATATATATATATATATATATATATATATGAAGAGTTCAGATGCAAAAGCCTCTAAATGCCATTTGAAATTTTCTTCTTTAATGATGATTTTTATCAAACTTGTATATTTAAGTTCAGTAATTTCACTTAAATAACAATTAATAGGTAATTATCATTGCCATTTAAGTGAAATTACTGAACTTAAATATACAAGTTTGATAAAAATCATCATTAAAGAAGAAAATTTCAAATGGCATTTAGAGGCTTTTGCATCTGAACTCTTCATATATATATGTTCATGATTTGTAACCACAACATTGACTTGTCAAATCAACTGAAATAATTGATGTGGTTCAGATTACATAATATTTTGAGTTTCTGATGATTAAAATCAATCTTCCTCATTGCATTAACTCAATTTTTCCATTTCAATGAACTTAAAATTTTAAGGCAACCAGGCTACTTCGGGGTTTTTTTTAAGTTAAACCATCAATTTTTTTACAGTGTACAATTTTATTCAGCAAGGATGCATTTTAAATTGATCAAATGAGACAGTGAAGACATTTATAATGTTACAAAAGATGTTTTTTTTTATATTCATCAAATTATCCAGAAAAAAATGTTTCATGATTTTCACCAAAAATGAAGCAGCACTAAATTTTTCAACATTGATAATGATAAGAAATGTTTATTGAACAGCAAATCAGCATATTAGAATGATTTTAAGGATCATGTGACACTGAAGACTGGAGTAATGATGCTGAAAATACGTTTAGTTTTAAATAAATTTTAAATTTTTAAATTTTAAATATTAAGTTACCTGAAATTTTAATAACATTTCACAGTTTTTTATATATATATATATATATGCAGCCTTGGTGAGCATAAGAGACTTCTTTCAAAAACATTACAAAATCTTACCGACCTCAAATTATTGAAAGGTAGGATAGACTGACAGACAGATTGTAAATTCATGATAAATACCATTTTTATTTGTTTGCTAATCGTAATTTTTACTATTGCTATAAGCTACTAATATAACTCAACATAGTGTATTCTTTATAACTCATCCCAGATATGAATATTACCTCAAATTATTTGGTTTGTTTAGGAGAAGTGCTTCAACATATGATTTATGGGTGAAAAACATATTTTAGACCTTTTAAATGAGGGAATAGCCATTTAGATACCAGTAATATAGTTGTCATTATGAATGAATATGATTAATAAGTTATGATTTTTTTTTATTTTTTTTTTTACATATTTTTACATTCATATCGACATATAATCAATGAGGAAGTTGTATTTTGTTGTGTTTTTAATTGTATTGTATTGCTTTGTTCTGTTTTCATTGTGCAGCACACTGGACGACCTAGGTTGTGATTAATAGTGCTATATAAAATGGACATTGACATTTCTTACATTGCGTTAACTCATCAAAATAAGTTCAGCAATTTTCAACTTTTTAAAGTTATACGAGATTCAACTCATTTTTCTTTAATGTAATTTAAGTTGGAACAACTTAAACATTTTTTAAACATTTTTTTTTCTTTTTTACAATACATCAGCATATCATGGAGACTCTTTTGGTCTTTTTTGACTAAGTAACCACATAGCAACACATTAAAAATGACATCTTAGCAACCGCATAAAACAATGCCCTGATATCGTAGCGGTGACTTTAGCATGTATAGCCATATGAATCCTCTTTTTCACTGTCCTAGGCTCTGTTGGAAAGACAACCTGTGTGAAGAAGCAAAAGTGTATGATGAACAGTTCTCAAAAGGATGGGACGCTTTTCAGGGACCCGCAGAAGACCATTTTTGAACCCGAACTGACTCTAGAGGTCACGGCTAATGATGGAAGGAAAACAAATCCGACAGAGGTCGCATCGAACGGTGTTATAGGAACAAATGAACAGACATGTAATTCATGGAGCGTTTCCAATGTCCAAAATCTGAAAGAGATGCAATATCTGCACCACGAGGCGGAGGACAGTCTAATTGACGCGTCACTGGACATTGACAAGTCCTCTCTCATGGGTTTCATCGACTCCAGCTACTTGGAGAGCTCGGAGGATGTTCAGACCGTTCCCTGCATCCAGGTGGACGTGAAAACGGATGTGGTGCTGATTGATGAGGATGATGATGATATGTCCCTTAGGGAGAGGACAGTGACGGACATGTCCACTACGGACGGGAACGCGGCCGAGCTCGTGTGTGGGGGTCTCCAGTCAATCTCCTCTGACTCCTCCCACTCTTTGTGTGATGGGCGGAGTCAAGAGCAAGGCTCGATCATGGAGACTCCTAATGAGGAGCAGGAGCTGCCCAAAAAACACACACGCTCCTGCTGCCTCTGTGTTATCATATGATAAAAAAGGTCCAATATTATACACTTTTTGAGCATTTTTTTTCTTAAACGTAATTTTATAATGTTACGGCCTGTTCATATCAAGGACGATAAAAATTACTTTAACGTCAACTTTAAAAGACAATATCATTCTGTTTATTAAAAGCACGCATTGCAGTTTTGTCGTCTGCCACTTTAAATACTTGAGCGCTTTAAAGAAGGATGGATTCTGATTGGTTGTCAAAAATCCAAAATCATTTAAAAATTATTCTGAAAGTGATTCCAACTCATTCCTCTGTTGTTATTGTTATAGTTGTGGTATGGACTGTGCTATTATTTTACATTTAGATTTTTATTGAATGATTTTTAAAACTATGTCTTTATTGTTATAATTATTGTCCTTGGTGTGAACAGGCCTTTAATCAAGGTGTCATGCACCTAAAACAGTCATAATTATGGTTTTCATGACCATTTTTAACTCTCTTTCTCTGACACAAGTTTATTTGTTGTTTTAAAGTAATGAAATGACATTTGTAACCTATTTTACTCCCATAACGTGACATGTTTCCTTGGGAAAGAAGAAAATAAGGTAGGGAAGGACTCAAACGTTGAAGCATGAAAAGTGGAAGTCTTTTACTTCAGAAGATAATGAAAAAATCCTGTTTTCCATGATATGCCTCCTGAAGGTGTAAATGTGTTTCTGCATGAGCACAATTGCTGTGAGGATCTAGTTTTAAAAGGTTTTGGAAGCTGGTGCTGCCAGACAGAGCTAATTTAAACCTAAGCAGTTCACTTTTTTGGCTGCTTTTCCCGTGCATCTGGCACAATAGTGTTTATGTGAATTATACATTTTGTATGTGTTTGTCTTTCATTGTAGTTGCAGCTTGTGAAATATTCAGTGCTGATCTGAGTCAGAGAGCACCAATGGAAATGTGCAGGTAAATATCAACTGCACAGAGAAAAGAATCAAACGCAGATATTTCTAGCTCGGCGTGCTCGATTTTGTTCGATCAGTGACCAAAATGTGTCAGAAGACTGTAAAAAACGGGATGTGAAGTCAGTGCTCTGCCTTCGGAGCTAGTATGGCGGGCATTATTGTAAATTATAAACATGATTATTGCTATGCCATTAAAAAATATGGCGACCAAATTGTTTTTGAAGGAAGTCTCTTATGCTCTTTTATTTAATAAAAAATACAGTAAAACAGTAATATTGTGAAAAATTATTACAATTTGAAATAACTGCTTTTTATATGAATATGAGATGCCACCACATGCCATTACTGCAGTCTTCAGTGTCACCTGATCCTTCAAAAAATTGTTATAAAATGCTGATTTGCTGCTCAAGAAACATTTCTTATTGAACAAAGTTACACCGCTTAATATTTTTGTGGAACTGTGACTTGTTCCGGATTCGATCATGAATAGAAAGTTGAAAATAACATAATTTATATGAACTACAAATCGTTTGTCACATTAAATGTCTTTACTGAAACTTCTCATTAATTTAATGCATCCTTGCTGAATAAAAGCATTAATGTATTTCAAAGACAATAAAAAGTTACTGACGCTAAAGAGCCTAGCGCGCTTATTGGCTGTACTGCGGCAACTGCACGAACCTATGGCGAGGGGACTCAGGCGCGCTAACCAATCAGGCCGCTTCGCGCCCAGGCGTGTCAGAGCCCGCCACAATGGGCGTGGCTTATAATTCGGATATCAATCGCATTGTTCAACAGTCTCATTCTTTCCACCCCATCACCGAAACTCTTCAGCGGATCAAGCTATCTGTGCGAATCATCAAAAAGAACAAATTCTAGGCGTTGTTTCAAATGTCTCGGGTCACTTACGCCTCGTGCAGAGGCCCTCTCTCCGGCGGAGATCGTCACATCCATTGTGCTTCCGGTTTGGGCCGTGGCCACGCGAAAGCTGCACTCTCTAAAGCAAAGTATGATGAGATGCCGCTCTCCACCATGCGGCCGCCTCGACAGGTCAGTTTCAAAGACAACGACCCCGTACCCCCCCTTAACCTTTGCTCGGGCCGCGCTCACGGAGGATATCAGAGCGGGCGAATTCAAGTGAGCTCACGCCGGCCTAGTTCCCGCGTGCCTCACCCAGGGAATCCCCCTAACGTTAACCTGTCCAGTTCGCAGAGGCAGACCAGCGCCCCTCTCATCGAGCAGTCCGTCTCGACTTTTTTGAGGGATCAGAGGAAGAGAACGAAAAGTCTTTCTCTCGCTGCATCCGAATGCAAGTTGACGGACTCCAGGGTCGACCCCGCACCCTCAACCCAAGCCTGCACGAGCGACGCGAGACTCCGCTTTGATGCAGAGGCAGAGCTGCTTCGCGTCTTGACGAAGGCCGCTAAAGACCTCGAGCTCGAGTGGTCTTCGCCCGAACCGCCCAAGCGCAGCAGGCTAGACGGTCGGTTCCTTCAGCAGCGCTGGCAGGCCCCTCGGCAGAGACCAGCTCCCTTCTTCCCAGAAGTACACGACGAACTAACAAAGTCTTGGAAAGCGCCAAACTCAACTCGTCTAAAGCCGTCCATCTCTTCAATGCTCTCGACCGTCGAGGGCGCTGCTGAGAAAGGATACAAAACCATTCCTCCCCTCGAGGAAGCGGTGGCCGCACACCTCTGCCCGCCCACCGCTAGGCGATGGAAAGTTAAACCGACTCACCCGTCCAAACCTTCCCGCGCCACTTCAGCTCTCGCTGGCCGGGCCTACGCCTCCGCTGGCCAAGCTGCTTCGGCGCTTCATACCATGGCTGTCGTCCAGGTTTTTCAGGCCAAACAACTTAGCTCGATGGACAAGTCTGGACCTCAACCGGAAGCTTTAAGGGACCTGCGCATCGCCACTGACGTGGCTTTGCGAGCTATCAAGTCGACCGCCCAGGCGATTGGTAAGAGCATGGCGTACTTGACGGTGCTTGAACGTCATCTTTGGTTAAACCTAACAGAGATGAAGCACGCAGACAGGGAAGCCTTTCTGAACTCCCCCATCTCCACCACCAGTCTGTTCGGCCTAGCAGCCGAGGATTTGCGGGACGTTACACCGAAGAAGGCGCCTTACAGCCAGTGAAGTCAGCGCCGCCCGTCTCCCAGCCTAGCCATGGTGACAGGTTAGGAAAAGAGTGTTTGAGTCCCGCTGCGGCTGGACCAACCTCCAAAAAGCTTTTCGTTTTCACATATATCCATTTCACTCAAATAAAGCACGAAAAGAGCACTTTTTTCTGTCTGTTCTTCCGGCTCGCGCTGGGTTGTGTGCCCACTATTGGGGCTGGACTATTGACAAATTTCACAATTCGATTCACAAGCTTGTAATTCGATTAGACTTAATATTGATTATTTTGATGCAGGTTCAATACGGGAAATTTTCATAAGGAAAACAAATCTCTTAACTAATGGTGTTAATGGGGAATCAACTGGCCAATAGTATTGGTAATTATATACTGATCTCTATAGAAACACTTAAATCACTCTTACTTATTTTTATAATAAAGTTAGGCTGTATGAAATATAGACATTTAAATTGTGGCTGTCATAACTTGCCAGATTTATTCAAACATTAAATACTAAAGAACTTAAATATATAATGAATATGTGATCTGATGTTTAGCGAAATGCTGCTCTAGAGTTAATTTTTCTAGCTGACTAACGAGTTTATGGCCACTGGATATGAAGAGTTCAGATGCAAAAGCCTCTAAATGCCATTTGAAATTTTCTTCTAAAATGACCATTTTTATCAAGCTTGTATTTTAAAGTTCAGTAATTTCACTTAAATGACAATTAATAGGTAATCTTCATTTGAAATTACTGAACTTAAATATACAAGCTTGATAAAAAAAAAAAAAATTCTTTTTAGAAGAAAATTTCAAATGGCATTTAGAGGCTTTTGCATCTGAACTCTTCATATGGTTTTTCGGAGCAGCGCCAAAACGGTAGGTTTTTTAATTTCGTAAGAAAATGGACGTATTTAAAAGTCTGAGAGACTGTTTTATAGCAATAGTAACAAAACAAAGATTATTGCGATTTATTGGATGGGATGAGCGCTATGATGTTCCATTTCATTCGTCAACTGAAAACAGGATGGCCTAATCGATTCATGGTATTTAAAGGAGTAGTTCACTTAAAAAAAACCCGAAAAACTTTTGCTGATAATTTGAACCGTTTGGTTCCTATTGAAGTCCATTATATGGAAAAAAATCCTGGAAGGTTTTCATTAAAAACCTTAATTTCTTTTTGACTGAAGAAATAATGACATGGACATCTTGGATGACTTCCTCGTTCCAAAGAAGTATTGGACATACTTGATTAATTCAGGCGTGATTTTGATTATTGTTGCTGTGACTACTGAGGTCAGGCACACCTGAATTAATCAATTTGTCCAATAATGGCAGACAGGAAACAAGGAGCTGGCTGAAGTTCAGGAAGCAGTGCTGCTGTGCATAAAGCCAATTACCACTGGAAGATATCTGTGTGGTGGTGGGCTGGGCTATGTACCATATAAATAAGGAGTGTGGCCCATTTATTCGTTCGCTATAAGAGGTTAGTCACTGTCTAGTCTCTTTTAGGACTCAGAACTTTACACGATGGGCCTCGGGTGTAACATAACCTTGGTTTCCTGAGAGTAGGGAACGATATTGTGTAACCCACCGTGCCACTGTGCTTTGATCAGGGGATCACCTCAGTTGATTTAACCTAAATTATAGGGCGAGAATGGGGGCTGAGACCTCGCAATCGGTTCGTGCAGTTGCGCAGCACAGCCAATAAGCGCACTCGGTTCTCAGCTATGTGGCTGCACTGCGTTTTAAATATTCAATATTCTTGAGAAAAGGACTTTTCCCATAGCGTAAGTTACTTACGCAATACTCATTCCCTACTCTCAGGGAACCGAGGTTACGCTAGTAACTGAGACGTTATCTTTCATGTTATGATGTAAAAATGCTGCATACTATTTTTTAAGACCATTAGCACACTCACATACTTAAAATATATTCAGTGTGTACTGTGCAGTAGAACACTAATGAGCTCCATCTGTTCATATGGCTACAATGGTGTCTGTTTTGTACATTTGAGTAAAAGCAGTGCATATGTTCACACCAGCACACAGTACTCTTGTTTCTCTCCTGTGTCACATGTGCAGCAGTCAGGTGGAGGAAATGGTTTCTCATCTCAGTGAAGGTTTCCGGATGAGCTGAGCGATGGTGTGTTTTGTTGGGAGGGGTTGGTGTGTGTTTGAGTGTTTGAGGGGTGTGTTAGAAGGGTGATAGTGCAGGGAACTCTTA